CTAGTTTTCTGTTGGAGCACTCAAGATGGTGAAGAGGATGGCAGAGAGCAAAACAAGAGATTTGGGGCTATGATCATTGTGGACATGTTAAGTTTGATGTATCCAGCAGACATGCCAAGGAAGGTGTCAAGCAGGACACTATACATGCAATTTAAAGCTCAGAAGAAAGTTCTTCACTAATGAACTAATACGTGAACAATTATGTATGGCATTTTAAGCCATGAAAATGGATGAGACTGGGTGATGATGTGTTCATGTAGGTTCATCATTTGTGACCACACTCTGGTGAGGGATATTGATATAATGGGAGAGGCTGCAGGCATGTGTGGGGTAGAGGGAGATGGGAAATCACTGTACCTTTCTCTCAATTTTGCTCTGAACCTAAAACTGTTCTGAAAGGTAAAATCTGTTTTTTAAATGAAGAGATTACTTAATGAAAGAATGTAGACAGAGGAAGATGCAAGAGCAGAGCCAAAGGTTCAACTCCTGTATATATTCCCAAAGGGATAAGTCAGCATACGATAGATACCTGTATATCCTCGTTTATCGGAGCACTGTTCACAATGCCAAGTTATGGAATCAGCCTAGGTGCCCATCAACAGATGAGTGGAATTTCATTCAGTCATTAAAGAAGAATGAAATTATGACATTTGCAAAAAAAATGGATGGAAATAGAGATCGTCATGTTAAGTAAAATAAGCCAGACTTAGAAAGACAAATATCACCTTTCTCTCATATGTGGTATTTAGATTTGCGTGTGTGTGTATGGTTCTAGAGTTTGAAATCAGGGCCTAGCACTTACTAGGCAAGCTTTCTAGCACTTGAGCCATGCCCTTAGCCCTATATTACTTTTTTTAAAGACATAAAAAGTAGAAGGGGGACTATTTGGGAAGCAAAAGGGAGCCAGCAGGAGGGAGGAAAATGACAAGACACAGTAATGCAGGGAATGAATATGATCAAGTACATTATATACAAACATGAAAATGTCCTAATGAAACTCATTATTTTATATAAATAGTAATAGTTTAAAAATGAATGCATAGTTTAGAGGTTAAGTAGATGGGAACGATCTTAAAAAGAAGTCTAAGAGAGAATAAGCAGAGGGTTGTATAGACAAAACTTTGATTTAGGACAGCCAACATGAGAGACCATTTCAGGGAAGAGGCAGTAGTCAACTGTTTCTGAAGCTTTACAAAGTCAAATCAGATAAGAACAGGGAATACTCACTGGAACTGGCTGTGTGGACATCACTGTGAGAACAGTTTGTATTCAAGTAATGGATTGGAGGAGGTGGACAAATAGAAGTTGAGAAAAATCAAGATAACATGAGCAGATGACTCAAGAAGTATAATTGTAGCCATGTACAGTGGTACATTCCTGTAGTCCCAGCACTTGACAGGCTGACACAGGAGGATCGTGGATTTCACACTTGCTGAGCTATATAGCAAGGTCCTCTCAAAAGAAAGAGAGAGGGACAGAAAGACAGACAAACAGAGAGAGACAGAGAGAATAAATCTAAGATAAAAATTCAAATACCCAAAAAGTAGAAACAACTCACATGTCCATCAACCAATGAATGGCTAAATAAAATATGACAAATATATACAATGGACTGCTACTTGGACATAAAAAGGATGAAGTATTAATACGTGCTACAACATGGATGAACATGGTGCTGAGTAAAAGAAGCCAGTCACAAAGGCCACGTGTATTAGGATTCCAATTATATAAAATGTGCAGAATAGGTAAACCCACAGAGACACAAAGTAGACTGGTGATTGTGGGGATGACTAGAAGGAAATGATAGTGACTACAAATGACACAGTGTCTTTTGGGGGTGATAAAATACATTCTAAAATTACTGGGTGCACTGGTTCATGCCTGTAATCCCAGCTACTTCAGAGATGGAGGATCCTGGTTTGAGGCCAGCCAAGGAAAAAAGTTAGTGAGATTCCCATATCACAAATAAGCTAGATGTGGTGACATGCATCTGTAATCCCAGCTATGCAGGAGGTCATAGACAGGAGCATCATGATTCAGACAAGCTCAAGAAAAAAATGTGAGATGTTATCTGAAAAAAATAACAACAGCAAAAAGGGCTGGAGACATGGCTCAGTGGTAGAGGTCCCTGCCTAGCAAGAGAGAGGCCCTGAGTTTAAACCCAAGTACAGCCAAAAAAAATGATTATGGTGATTGTTTCACAGCATATACTAACAACCACCAAAATGCATAATTTAAATGGGTGGATTTTATGGTATATGAATTACAGCTCAATAAAACTCTTCAGTGAAATAAAATTTAAAAAAACAAAAACTAGAGTGAGGAAACTTGAAAAGGTGAGAGAGGATAAAAATATATAGAAACTGACCCTTCACAGGAGTAACAACCACCCTCTATTGTCATAAGAGGGGAAAGATGGGAGAATATGCAAATAATTTGTAGGTAGATGTTTGTTTATTTGTTTGTTTGTTTTGTGGTGGTAGGGATTGAACTCTGGGCCTCATGCATGGTAAACAAGTACTCTACCACTTGAGTTATGCCGCCCATAGGTAGGTTCTGTAGTAGATAATAAAGATATTTATAGCTCTTATTATAAAGTGTGAGATAAATTCATCAACTGGAATAAAGATAATACAGCCAGGCACTGGTGGCTCAGGCCTGGAATCCTATCTACTCAAGAGGCAGAGATCAGGAGGATTGCAATTCAAAGCCAGCACAGGAACATTCATCTCAATACCTATTTGACACCATTAAGTGTTTTATGTCAATTCCAAAGTCCACATTATTAAAGGGTATGTTAGTCAAGGTCCAGTCAGGCAAATGGAAACCAACCTAATGGTTTCAAACAAAGAAATGCAATGTAAAGAACTGGTCAACAAATGCCATGGATAACCAAAGGGAGAAGTTGGGAGGTTGGAGGAGCAGAAAGGAAGGGGTGATAACCAGAGAGTATAAACTGTCAACATGGGTTCGCTGGAGCTCACAGACTCAAAGGTTATCCTGTTGTCAACACTGTCACATGTTCCAGATCTGCCATGGAGGGGCCACCTCAACCAGAGCTGCAACTGCTGCAAAGGTGCAGGCTCAGATAGGCTCAGGTAAATGTAATCTATAACGCCCCAACCCCACTACTGCTCTAGCACCACCAAGGCTATGTGCCACTCCACATCCATGACCAATGCTCTCTCACTCCCCCAGTCTGATCTCCTACCAGCACCGACTATTGGCAGAAACCATAAGGAAGCCAGCAAGCCAGGAGCCAGGGAGATGTAATTTGTAGACTCAAAACCCCAGCAATTTATGGCAAATGATGAAAGGTGAATGAAAGGCTGACAGAATATAGGTGAACAACCCTGTGGGAAAGTATTAGAAGTATTCCAGGGCTGACAGAATGGCTAAAGTGGTAAGAGTGCCAACCTAGCAAGCATGAAGTCCTGAGTTCAAACTCCAGTGCTGAAAAAAAAAAAAGTATTCCCATTAATTTCAGGAACAAGAAAAGGAATTTATTTAACATTATTGTGAACAAATTTGTGAAAGCAATTAATCAAGGGAAAGAAAAGTTGAAACTTAAGAAGAAAAATTATTATGCCCACATTATCATTTTGCACCTGGAAAATTCAAAGGATCAAATTTAAAATTAATATAAGCAATGAGAGAATTTAGTAAGAAGAGTAGGTATGAAATACACAGAAATTTAAAATGACAATAGATGTATGCAAATGACAACAAATTAGACTATATGAATGAAGAACACACTCTCTTATAATTAAGAGATAAAGTAACTAAGAATAAATTTACAAAATGTTCAATATCTACATAAATATATCCTTAAAATACTTCTTTTGGCTACTATGCAATGGAGTGCAGCCTCCAGCATTGCCCTTGGGTAGCTGCTCCCAAGAGAAGCCACACTTAATAACCTGGGTCTTGATGCTGAGATGCCTATGACCCAAAAGTTCAGCCTCTGAGATTTCCCTACTTCAGTGGCAATCCCTGACAGGGGCTTGAAGCCTTGGGGTACTGTCCTTGGCTGTGTGTGATCCAGGTCCCCAGGAGACTGTGAGGGCAGGGCCATCTACTTCCTGCTGCTGACCCCTCTATCCTTAGATTGTACAAATGTGGAAGTAGGGTAAGACCTTGGAAATTGTTTGAGGCCCAACAGCTTCTCCTTGTCTCCCCTTTTTTGTACATGAGAAATTGAGGCCCAGAAGTTAAAACACTTGCCCAAGAGAACACAGAACTAAGTGGCAGAGTTAGGATTAGAATTCAGGAGTCCTGACTTTTGCACTCTACCTTCCCCCACATATTTTTTCTATTTCTGGGGCCTGGAGGCCTTGAATTTTTTGTTTGGTTTGTTGATGGTGGTGGTTTGGTGGGATTTTTATGTTGTTGTTTTGTTTTGTCCTTTTGTTTTTGAGACAAGGTCTCACTATATAACCCAGGCTGCCTTCAAACTTGCAATCCTCCTGCCTCCACCTTCCTACTACAGGAATTACACGTGTGCACAACCATGCCCAGCTTGAGGCCTTAAATTTAAAAACAAATGTAAATCAGCTCAAAAAGTACTTTTCTTTTTTTCTTTTCTTTTTTTCTCTTTTTTCCCCCCAGTGCTGGAAGTCAAACCCAGAGCCTTGCCCATTGTTGGCAAGCACTCTACCACTGAGCTATAACCCCAGCCCCAGTGCCTTTCTTTTGAACATTAACCTCCCTCCTCCTCATGACCAATCAGGCCTAACCCTGGACATTCTATTTGACCTCCATCTGGAGCAAAGGCATGTTACAGCTTACAAAACCCCAGGGGGTGTGGTAGGGAACCAACCAGAATTTCCAGCTTACACAACCTGAGCTGACAGCAGCAGAAAGTGAGACCAGGACTCCTTCTGTGAGTCAACTCTACCCCCAGCCTTTGGCCCCCAAGAGGCTGTGATCTGTGCCAGATAACCTGATCCCCTTCCTGCTCCCCTCTGAAGTGAGTCAGCACACCCCATCCTGGGCAGAACGCTCCAAAACACAGGAACGCAGGCACCACCTGACCTTTCGACCCATATAAAACTTGTTGAAGAGTATGGAGCTGTGGGACCCATGACCACTGGAGGGAGGATTGCCAGGCAGGAAACAAAGAGCAAAGTCCTATGGTAGGAGGAAGAAAGACTGCAGTGCTAGGCAAAGGCAAAAAGCCAGTGTCCCAGTGGAAGCACCACCTGCAGCTGGTGCCATGGATGCCCTGGTCCGACTCCTGCAGCTGCTGGTGCTGCTCCTGACCCTGCCCCTGCACTTGCTGGCTCTGCTAGGCTGCTGGCAGCCCCTGTGCAAAACCTACTTCCCCTACCTGATGGCCGTGCTGACTGCAAATACCAACCGCAAGATGGAGAGCAAGAAACGGGAGCTTTTCAGCCAGATTAAAGGACTTATGGGAACCTCTGGGAAGGTGGCCCTGTTGGAGCTGGGCTGTGGTACTGGTGCCAACTTCCAGTTCTACCCACCTGGCTGCAGAATCACTTGCCTGGACCCAAACCCCCACTTTGAGAAGTTCCTGACAAAGAGCATGGCTGAAAATAGGCACCTCCAATATGAGCGATTTGTTGTGGCATATGGAGAGGACATGAAACAACTAGCTGATGGCTCCATGGATGTGGTGGTGTGCACACTGGTGCTGTGCTCCGTGCAGAGTCCAAAGAGGGTCCTGCAAGAAGTCCAGAGAGTGCTAAGGCCGGTAAGCAGAGTGGGAAGGATACAGGCCTGGAGCTGGCAAACATGGCATTGGCCACCCCAGAGTTCCGTTCCCCTAGGATGGGGCATGTTACACACACCCCCATCATCTCCACCTGCTGCTGAACTAGAGATATGTCCATGATGGGGCAGAACACAATGCTGGGGAACCACACAGGAACATCACCTAACACAGTTGGGAGGCGTGAAGTTTAAACTGAGATTTGAATGATCAAGCAGGGTGCAGAGGGGGTTGGGGAAAATTAAAAGTGTTCTAGTGGGGCTATGAGGAGAAATAGAATCCATAAGACTTTGAGGTGGGTGTGGATGAGAGTTTTATTTGCAGAAATGGAAGAGCCCTGTTCTGGATGTGTTAGGTCTCAGGAGCTGCTGAGACAGCCAGGCAGAGAGATCATATAGACCCTTAGAAGTCCAGATCTGGAAGTCAGAAAAGGATGGAGATGGAATCATCAGATGTAGAAATCAGCAGTTTGCAGATGGTAATTCAGAGTGTGGGGGGAGTGAATGAATCACCTAGGAAAGAGGATAGTGGGAAGAGAAGAGCTTACATAATCCCTGCTTTGGTTGGGTGAGGCCTGGAATTTCTCTGGGATCTTCAAGAAGTCCAGGAAGCAGTAATGGTATGCACCTGAGTCTCAGGAGAGAGGCCAGGCAGGCATCTCTGCATATAGAGAAACACCTGCTCCTGTTTCTCAGTCACCCTCTGACTGCCAGGCTGTATAGTCCCTCTGGCTATCCTTTAAAGATCTCTCACCAGTCTTCCCCACTCAGTTGCAAAAGGTTCTTTACACACACTTTGAGGGAGGGTAGGAGTAGGGGTTGCAGAAAACGTCAGGGACAGGTCCGTTTGCTCCATAAACTCTCAGACCAGTGGCTCCGCTTCATCAAGCGGGTTGACCAGGCTTGGTCAGAGGGAAGGAAATGAGATCAGAAGAAAGAAGCAGGATGGAACATCTAGATAAGTGACATTAACTCTCTCCTTCCTCCCAGGGAGGAGTGTTGTTTTTCTTGGAGCATGTGGCCGAGCCTCGAGGAAGCTGGGCCTTCATGTGGCAGCAAGTTTTCGAGCCCACATGGAAACACATTGGTGATGGCTGCTACCTCACCAGAGAGACTTGGAAGGACCTTGAGAATGCCCAGTTCTCTGAAGTTCAAATGGAACGACAGCCCCCTCCCTTCAAGTGGTTACCTGTTGGGCCCCAAATCATGGGAAAGGCTGTGAAATAAGCTTCCTCAAGCTCTCAGGGCAGTCATTAGCTCCCTTCCCTGCCTCTAGTCAGAAGGAATCACCCACCAGCCAAGGCTGTCTCTACTGAGACGGATATAGTAAAGAATGGAAGGAGCTCCCCCTCAGCACCTCCTACTTCCTCTCCCCCCACCTCTGCCATGGGGACTCTCTAGCTTCAATCCCTCCTTCAGCAGTGTAGAAATTCTGATTCCTAGCTGGTCTGAGGGAAGAAACCTTTATGCCCTGTCAAATCCTTAACTGCAAATCCCTAGACTTTGCTCTCTCACCTCCTAGGCCGTACAGTTCCTGTCCCTTTCCCTTGTCCCCATGGTAATGTTTCCTCTGCCCTCCTTCTGAGGCTATACCCATGTGTCCCTCAAAACTGGTTATAAAAGTCTTGATGTATGCATCCCTGCCCAGTCACCTGAGTCTCCCTCCCTGCTATCACTTTGGTCCTGAACTGTGGGAGTGCCAGAGAGAAGCAAAGTCTCTGGGAAATGAGGGATCAGCACTCAATAAAGAAGCCAGAGGTGCCAGGCACCTGCAGCTCACACTTGTAATCCTACCTACTCAGGAGGCAGAGATTAGGAGGATCGCTGTTCGAAGCAAGCCCGGGAAAAAGTTGTGAGACCCTATCTTGAAAAAACCTTATCACAAAAAATTGGGCTGGTGGAGTGGCTCAAGGTGAAGGCCCTGAGTTCAAGTCCCAGTACCAAAAAAGAAGAAGAAGACGAAGAAGCCAGAGGTCTTTCTTCAAATCTTTTTTAATAAATAGACAAAACCCACTAGACTGATGCAGCAAACTAAAGTCAGAGAAGAGGAGAAAGGAGGGAGGGAAGGAAGAGCCGCTGAGTCAGAGGCATGAGCTCCCTGATTCTCCAGCTAAGGCACTTTGGGGGAAACAGGTTACACAAGGCAAATGCAAGAGGAAGAGATTAGGATCCCCTCTCCCCATCTTGCATCAGGGTATCCCTGCCCTTCCCCATGGCCCATCCTTGATTTCACCCCCTCTCGTCCCACAAGATTCTAAGGGGAAGCTTGAGGGGTGATACTCATGGGTAGGAGAGGTCTGTGCCCCTAAGGAAGCAGACTCTGCCAAATCTTGGTACAATATCAGCAACCCATTCCACCCTATTCATCAGAGTAGTCATCTTGAGAAGGGGTAGAGGGGGCCCATGGGCCAGGATGGGACAACGGAAGCTAGCCAGTGCTTGACACAGGATGCCCATCAGGACCTAGCTCAGAGTGCCCATCAGCATTCAAGATGGGGTATGCATCAGGTCCCTCCCTCCGGGGACTGCCCCAGTTGCTCCTCAGGATGGTGCCTGTCTTCTCCTCCTTGAACTGCTGTCGGTCTTCCCGAGGGATCTTCACCGCATGGTACTGGGGCACGGTGGCTTCAGGGTGCTTTGCCCGCTTGAAGAATCCCATCTATAAGGACACCAAGACAGACCATGGGGAGCTTGAAGGGCTAAGATCTCAGGAGCAGACACCCAACACAGCCTGGCACATTGTCTTCACCAGCCCCAGGGCAGGAAGAATCATCTGAAGCAAAAAGGAGACAGGCTGACCAGCAATCAGCATAGCAGGCAGCCCCCAGGATGCCGCCATCATTGCCAGGACTCCAAGTTCTCATCCACAGTAAGAGAAAGCCCACAAGGGGGCCCCAGGTGCCAGACCAAGGAAAACTTCCTTGACCACTGAAAGACTTGAAGGTAAAATATCAGGACCTCTAATCCAAAGGCTTCCACCAACCCACTGACCCAATAAAGTCCACCAAAACACAAACAAGATCTGAAGAAGGAAATGGCTCCCTAGACCCCTGCATAATTGTAACAATGCCCCTCGAACCTCATACACATATACCTGTGTGCATGCACACTGAGCAGCACCCATGAATACAGCAGTCTAGCCCCTCCCTGAATCATGGCCATGCCTGCTGGCACAACACACCAAGGTGATAGTGTGTCCCCTTGCATACTCACACTCAGAACTGCTAGGACTCCTACATGCTCTGACTGCACAGCATCTCCTTGCACACTTGTCTCTGCACACTCATGCCCATAGAAAAGACATGCACGAGCCTCTCTGCTCCCCACATGCTCATACTGCATGAGCCCCCAGCTCTTTGGGTATTCCCTCAGCTGTGTAGACTTACCCTTATAACCTTACCTTTTAATTACTTCAACCTTGGTTGCTAGGACTCTCACCACCTTCATGCAAACTCATCTCTACTCTGGACATTCCTTCCTGATCCCCTGAATGCTGGGAGCTGTACTTAGACTCACAAATATACACAGCCACATGTACACACATATTTGCACATACACCACAGTTACCCTACAGTCCCTGGACCCCCAACTTCCATAGCTGAGGGCTGCATGGCTAGATGGGCTCGGTGATAGTTGGTGAGAAAAGATGAGCTCTGGCTGCCCCGATGAAAGAAGCCACACTGGGATGTCAAGGGAAAAAGGGAAGAAAAGAGGCAGAGGATGGAAAGATTGAGAAGGAGGGGTCCCTTTTCTCTGCTCTACCTTCCTTCCTTGGGAGCAGAGAGGCAGGCATTCAGGGTCCAGTTTCCTGATGTATCAATCTCCCTTAACTGGGCAAGTTCCCAACAGCTTGGTGCCACTCCAGAACCTGGTCTTCTGATGGGGCACATTTGCCAAAGGGTGTGCCCAGTGTGTGATTGGTCTAATGGAGCAGGCAGGCAGGGCAGCTCTCCACAGAGCCCCAAGGACATGCATAGTTCTGCATGCAGCCCCACATGTGGCATGTGGCTCAAGGATGATGAGCCCTGGTGATGCATGTGATTCCCTAAATGGACATGTGCATGTGTGTGCTTTTACATTGAGCCCCAGATGCCAACAGGATTCTGTTACAGCTCTTTGTGGACAAGAATGGTTCCATGTGGAGCCTGGTATGTGGAAGTTCCCAGTTCAGCCCCGCAGACAGTTCCCTGGAGCTAGTCCTCCACACTTGTTGACTTTCTTGGCCACAACTTCCTTTCCACCCTTCACTGCCACACTCTGCTGCCATGGCATTTCTTACCATGGGTGTTCTGGAAGGCTCAGGCCCCACCCATCCATCTGCCCACATCCAGACCCTACTCTAGGACCTGGCTTGAACAACTACTTTCAGAGACTTCACAGTTGAGTACTCCCTACTCCCCACCCTACTCTCAATAGAGTAGGTTAGTAGTGTAGAGCCACGTCCTCTCAACCCTTTCTTTCTCTCAACGTCCACAGTCTCAACTCAACCCTTTCTGCTTTGTCCTTAACTACAAGGCTCACCACCTCTACTAGACTATAAAATTCCTCAGATCTACATCTGAGTCATCTTTGAAAACACCAGGGCCAAATAGAGTCCCTGAGGCCTGCTCAATGTAGAATTGCTGAATACACGAGTATGTGGGTAGGCTAGAGAACCATAGCACAGGAGGCTGCCCATTTGGTCATGATTCCAACAACCAATGGCCCCACAGCTCCCCAAGCCTCACCTTCCACAGCAGTAGCACCAGCAGCGCCAGTACCAGCAGCCCTGCCAGCACAGCCAGGAGGATGACCCACCAGGGGACTCCCTCTGCCACCACAGCCATGGGGTCCAAGTACACCATCACTGGAATCTAGCGAACAGGGATTAATGGGACAAGAGCTGGAGGAAGGCGAGTCCCCCACCTGCCCACCCCAAATCTGCAGCTCACCACTGTGGAGGCATCTCTGAGCAGCAAGTTCTTGATGTAAGACTTCACTGTGATGTTGGCTCGAACTATCACTTCCAGGGACTTCACGGCTGAGTATTCCTAAAGAAGTAGAGGAGGTGACTCTCCTTCTAAATGCTCCATGTCCCGCTCCCTCCCCCTCTCACTGCAGTTCCTGAGATTCTAAATGGAATGGTGCCCAACACAGAAGGTGTTTCTGCCCAGCTTGGGTTGTAAGTGTGCTGCGTTTGGACAGGAAGGAGATAGAAGTGAGTCTTGGTTTGGGCTTTTGTGGAACAAGAAACCCAGCCTCATGCCCCAGTAGTGCCCTCACCTCCAGAAAGGTGCTATTCCAGAGGCGGCCCCAGACATGCAACACAGCTGCACGGTCGAAGCTGTAGAGTGGGCAGCTGAACACCACGCAGTTGGCCGTGCCCCGGGCGCAGTCCTGGGAACAAGGACAGTCAGGGCTCTGAGCACTCAGCCCCACCCCACTGAGCCTGCCATCTCTCCCATTTTCTTTACTTGACCTCAAACTCCTCTCCCTCTAGGAAGGCTTCCCAAAGTAGCCCTGTGATCCAAAATAGTGGCCTACCTCACATCTGAGGTATTTGGCTTTGAAACTCATCAGGGAAGAAGGGTTCTCTTACCTCACAAGAGGTTGAGTACCTTCCCCAACCGATGCTCATGCAACCTAATGAGTCATTTATTGAACACCTATACCTACCACCTACTTATCTCATTTAAGCTCCGAAAGTCCTGCAAGGCACATATTATTAACACCATTTTCCAAAAGAGGAAACTGAAGCCCAAGGAGGCCAGATCACCAGCCTGCTTTAGATCATAGAGCCAGCAAAGCTGGTAAGTGGTGGAGCAGATACCTGGTACAGGTCCATATCTAGCAAAGCCACATCCCTGTGCTAAGTCCAAACTCACTGAAGGAGGGCGAGGCTGCCCCCAAGGAGCTGCTGGGGAGGAAACTCAGACCCTGCTCCATGAAAGGAGCCTGACCTAAATCCATTCGGCCCAATCACCACTACTAATGCACTTTCCTAAAAGTTATGTTATATTCATCACTCATCACAATCCATATACAGAAGAATGACTTTAAGAGTTTTGAATTCTTTGAGTCATCTTTTATTTTGCACTTTTAAGCAATTCAAGGATTCTTAGTCAATTTGTTTAAAAGCAAGTCCATCTGCCTTAATTGTATATAAGTGAATCATATTTGCCACATTATGTTAAGTGAAGCAGGCCTGGCACAGAAAGACAAATACCACATGATCTCACCCATATGTAGAATCTAAAAGAGTTGAACTCATAGAAGCAGAGAGCATAATGGTGATTACCAGAAACTGGAGGGCTAAGAGTGGGTAGGAAGATGTTGGCCAAAGTTTCAATTAGACAAGAGGAATAAATTCGAGAGATCTATTAGGGCTGTGCATCACAATGACTACAGCTAATAATATGCTATATTCTTGAAAAACCACCAAGAGAATAGATTTTAAGTGTGCTCACTACAAAAAAAAAAAAGTGAGATGACACATGTGTTAAGTAGCTCAATCTAGCCATTCCACAATATATACCCATTTTCAAAACATCATGTCATACATGATAAATATATATATATAATTTTTGTCAGTTAAAAAATAAATAGGAGCCAGTGACTCATGCCTGTAAGCTAGTTGGAAGGCTGAAATCAGGAGGATCACAGCTCAAGGTCAGTCTGGGCAAATAGTTATGAAACCCCATCTCCAAAATAACTAGAGCAAAAAATGAACTGGAGGTGTTGCTGAAGTGGAAGAGCTCCTGCTTTGCAAGCACAAAGCCCTGAGTTCAAACCTCAGTCCCACCAAAACTAAATTAAAAAATAAACAAATAGGGAACATTCATTCTATTTTTGTGGAATGAAGTGTTATCTGATTTTACAATAAAAAATAAAATCAAGAAATAAATAAATATAAAAAGAGTCTCTTTGAAAGTTTTTTGCATGTGTGTGCGGTACTGGGGTTTGAACTCAGGGCCTACACCTTGAGCCTTTCTAGGCTCAAGTCCTTTTTTGTGATGGGTTTTTTTTTTCAAGATAGGATCTCATGAACTATTTGCCCAGGCTAGCTTTGAACTGCAATCCTCCTGATCTCTGCCTCTGAGTAGCTAGGATTACAGTTGTGAGCCACAAGCGCCCAGCGCTGAGTTCTCCAAGGAAATCAGTCCTGTGGAGAAAGTAGGGCTATCCATATAGTAGAGCAACAGCAGGTTCCCAGGATAATAGCCCCCTGAGTGCTTTAGCTTGTCTCAGGCCATGCTCAGAGGGAAGTGGGGAGGCTATGGCTCAAGGTAGGACAGGATGTGACAACAGAGTTCCCCTCCCAGAAAGATAGCACCAGAGCTAGCCCAACTGCTTAAAATCCCCTGCAAAGGATCCCCTTGGCTGTACTGCTCATCCTTCCATGCCTGGATTTACCTCCATTTCCTTACAACTAAGCCAAACCCCTCTAACTGACATCCCTGCCACATTCTCACTGTCAACATCACCCTAGGAGGGACAAGCACAGAGCATGCACTAAGTTGTTCAACAAATTCACCTGAAAAACCAAAACTATGTAGAAAAGTAGACAAATACAGGAAACAAAACTGTTCATAAAGGATAGACTTAATGAATCATATGTAATATACTGTAATTTTAATCATGAGAACTTTTAAAAACTGGATGCTTGGGCCAGACATGGTAGTGCACACCTGTAATCCCAGAACTCAGGAGGCTGAAGCAGAAAGATTATTAGTTTCAGGCCATTCAGGGAGATACAGAAAGACCCCGTCTCAAAAATAAAAAGGAAAAAGGAAAAAAAAACTGGATGCTTTTATATAGTGAAAATTAAACAGATGATTACACCAAGTTCAAAAGAACAACAAGCAGGTCTCAAAGATGGCTAAACTCATCCCATCCCCATAAAATATGATTTTTATGTAAATGTGAGGAGAACTGATTTCTTCACTAACTAGCTGACTACAGGTTGAGTGTCCTGCTCTGGAGTGAGCACTTAGAGTTAGGGGAGGAGGGATCTGCAGAGTCAGCAGCTGCCTCACAGGCACCCCTTCCCTCAAGCTGTGCTCCAACTGTCTTGTCAACTTACCCCAGGTGTATGACCACCACATGTCCTGACAGGCCACCCTCTCTGCACACTCACCACCCTAAAGCTCTATGCCCCCACAATGGTCTCCTCTTTCATGCCACACACCCCTATTGTGACTGTAGTGAATTCACCCTGCCCTCACCAGAGTGATGTTTCTCTTCTTTCAGCAGAGGACACGGGCCACCAGAACATGCTGGGCTCTGGCTCCTCGCGAGGCTCCTCGTGAGGCTCCTGCTGCTCTGGTTGCTCCAGCTCTCGCCGTCTCCTATCCTTGCCATCCACATCCTAGGTATGGGGAGGGAGGGACCACTGAGTAGCCTTCCAAATGCAGCAATCCTGAAATGCCATCTCCTCCCTACTACCCACACCCCCAACCCCAGCCTCACAACATGCTTCCCAAAGTCTCATCCCTCCCACCTTGCCTAAGCCTCACCAGGTGGAGGATGTTGGGCCTGGGGGAACAGAGCCCTTTCTGCCCAGGCCCCTGCCCGCCCTCCAGCTCCATCCTCATGGGGTACAGCAGCCACTTCCCATTGGCAATCTCATGGGGCCACATGATATTGAGGAAGGCAGAGCCCAAGGTGTTGAGCGACTGGCCTTGGTTGGAGACCTGTGGATGTAACACATTCTGAAGGAAGGGAGCTCAGTTTCTAAGCAGAGCCTAAGCCACAAAGATGGAAAGGACAAGGCTGAGGGGAGGACCTCAGAAAGAATAGTGTCAACAAAGATACTGGATGCTGTTCTGTCCCCACACCAAATACAGTCAAACCTGGAGGTGTCCTGAGCAGGTGTGACAGACACTCCAGCCAAGCAAGGGCAGGAGAGACATCGACTCCACCCCAAGATCTCAGCCCCCTGATGAGGACACAAAAGAGAAGCTTCTCTGAATTCTCATAGCTTCCCAGACCAGCAAAGAAAGATGGTCAGTCAAAATGACCAGTTGAGACCCCAACACAAACATCTGCCTACAGCCAGGTCCAGGTGAAGGCAGAGGCCTCAAATTTACTGGACTGCCATACTGTCACAGGGGACAAGAGCCCCAGCCTTGGGACATGTCTCAGCTTCTCCTCTGTGCCAAGAAGGGAGGGTGGGAGTGGGGGGTCCACACACTTGGACACTTACAGTAACTTCATACTTGACCTTGCTGCCCACATCTCGTTCAGACTGCATTGCGCTCTCTCCCCTCACCACGCCGGAGAAGAAAAGTTGCTGGGGTGTGGCCACACTGGCATAGAGGGTCATAACAGAGGCTGATGAGGCTTGGGGTTTGACTGAATGAAGTCAGGAAAGAAAGGCCAGGCAAGGCAGAGCCTAGACCAGGTTTTGGGAGTGGCAGTGCCCCCCACCATCCACAGCAGAAGTGTGCACTCAGGCAGGCTTACCCTGCAATGGACAGTGGCAGCTCAATGAAAACACGGGCACGAGCAGAGACCGGATGCAGCTCCTGCTCACTGATCCTGGCATGGGGGCAAGGACATATGTGGGCAACAGGCAGAGGAACCCCTGCAGCACAGGCACCCCCCATGGGGTCCACGAGACTAATCCGACCTTCCCCCTACCCTGCCCTGCCAAGCTCACGTGGCCAACAGCAGCTCCACCTCCAGCTCCGTGGTCTCAATAGTGATCCCAGAGGTGCTAAGGATGAGGTAGAAGGTGACCTAGGCCAGTGTGGAATGAGAGAGTCAACGCAAGGCTGGGTTTATGGGGAGGCCACTAGGACAGGGCTACGGGCACATAAGCCAACCTGGGCACCTCTCTTCATAGGGTTCCCCAGCTCACACTCGACATGGGAGGCATTCTCATTGGACAGGCAAAGTGGTTTCTCCTGGAGTGGTGGAGAGGAAAAAACTAATCAGTGTAGGTTACTGCAGCCCCTCAAAATCCCACCCTATGCTGCTCTGGGTCCTCACCACAGGGTCCAGGGTCCGGACTCCTGAGTAGTGCAGTGAGGCAGGAAGAGTGACCAGCAGCTGGGCTTCGTGGGCATCATCCCCATCAGCCTGGGGCTGGGTTGGGTCCGAGGGCAAGTTGGTGACCATCAGCTCCAGGCCAATGACTGGCTGCCCACTCAGTGCAAACAGGGCCGTCATCCCATCCACATCCCTGGGAAGTCAGATACCACTCACTGAGATCTAAAACTCTCCCCCAGCCTCTTCACTCCCAGCACCCTCATTCCAAGTACATACTGCTTCCTCCACATCCCAAGCTTCTCCTCCCACCTTAGGTCCCCCAAACCAAACGCCAGCCCTAGTCAGATCTTTCTGTGCATAAATCAGAGTCAGACCTCCATTCTCATGCCAGCTCAATGTCCCTAGGCCTCAGTTTCCCACCTATAATGGGACTAAAATATTTCTACCTCACAGAATTGTGAAGACTAAACAATGACATGTATGTAAACCACACACTATCACGTGGACAGTGAAGGATCGCTATGCCTTGCCAGGAAGCCCTGTGGCTCCATCCCTGACCCTCATCTCAGTCTTCTGAATCATCAGTCAGTCATCTCTAGCCTTCTCCCCTCTACAGGCTCAGACATTCCCTCTGCCTGGTCCTCCTGAGAAGGCTTACTCCTTTCTTTGATCTCTTGCCCTCCTCTCCCCCTACCATGTGCTCCCCACCCCTCTCACATGGGCAGAGGCTGGAACTCCATGTCGCTGACCCGGGCACAAAAGCGGGCATGGACCAGCTGCAAATTGCTCTGACAGATCTTGTCTTCACCACATCCTTGTTTCAGGAAGTGAATCTGGGAAAAGATTTGAGGAGATCAGGATGGAGAGGGACAGTGGGGAGCACAAAGCAGGGGCTGAATGTGTCACCAAGGCATATGGTAGGCTAAGGTATCACAGGATTAAACAATTCCAGATCTGCTGCTTACTAGCTGTGTGGTATTGGGCTAGTCACCTAACTACTCTGAGCTATAAAATGATAGGAGTATTGCCATGCCATGGTAAAGATTCATTTCCCCAGCCTCAGCTATATGTACTGGATTTCATACTGAGACTTCAAAGAACAGTGAAGGGCACCACTCTGGGCTGTCTGTGAGATGGGCTGTCTGTGAGAACCAGGCACAGAGCTTCATATTTACCCTTCCAGATGAACAAACAGAAGGAAGGTGACTTAAGGACTTTGGAGGCCACATTGAAGATGACAGACTTCCATCAACTTGTGACCCTGAATGACTGAAGGGAGTGGAAGAGCACTGTACCTTGGACTAGGAATAAACATATAGTCATTTGGGCCCTTTTACATTTTGGGGTCTACAGAGATGTAAACTACTGGGGTAATGTGTGGAAGAGCTATGCAAGGTGTGAGTGGATATCACATGCGAGGGACCAGGACCATTGCCCTTCCTGGTTCCTCCTCCCATGCTCACCTCTGCCCGCTGGGTGTTAGGCTGGTGGGCATTGAGGATAGGAGCCACTGGGAGCAGCCCCTGACCAATAGCCTGTCGCCGGAGCCGAGGAGTCTGGAGACTGTAGGACAGGGTCACCACAATGGCCCGAAGCTTGTCTTTGACATTCTCCTGGAAGGGAAAGACTGTTCCTCAGTGGAACAACCTCCAGCCCACGCCTGGCCCTTCCCAAGGCCCCAGACAGACCCAGGACAGATTGTGAAACTTAGAAAAAAGTTTAGGGAGATGAAGGACAGAGGTGGAGAGCTGAGTGAAGAGGAGGGAGAGACCACAGTAGGGACAGAAGGAAACCCAGGATTCAGAGCTTTAAGGACCAGACTCTTCATCTCTGGTGAGGACAGAACTTGACAGGAGGACAGAGGCACCACTGAGAAGGTGAGCCCCGAAGGAAGACTTCTCAAAATCTAGAGCTTGGAATGAGGTGAGAGTGTGCTAGTGCAGACGCAGCTAAGAGGAATCAAGGAGGCTGGTGGAGTGGCTGAAGTTGTAAAGCACTTGCCTGGCAAGAGTGAGGCCCTTTTCTGCCTGGTAGTGAGGTGGGTAGGGGAGGAGAGGGAGGGGGTAGGGGGGAAGTGGGGGAGAAATGACCCAAACATTGTATGCACATATGAATAAAAGAAAAAAAAAAAGAGTGAGGCCTTAGTTCCAACCCCAGTACCAGCAAAAAAAAAAAAAAAAAAAAAGGAGGAATCAAGAAAAAGACATGTAATGACAATGACACTCAGAGACCAGGAATCGGAGTCTACCTGCAGCTGGAACATGGTGTCTCCACAGACTCGATCATGCTGGTGCTTCAACCACACAGTGCCTGAGGCCTGGTGCTTGGGGTCATCTGGGCTTCGGCTCAGGAAGGTCACACGGGGAACCTGTCCCCGGAGCCTCCGGTCTGTGTCCCCATCTAACATGTAATCCAAGGCTGTAGAGTGTAGGAAGAAGACAGTCAGTGAGCTGGGAAACTGCTCCTCCACTCGACCCCAAACACCCTCCTCTCCACCCCAGAGTAACCCAATGATGTGAGCAGTGGAAGAGGCCCCCACTCACCCACAATAGGACTGTAGCTGCTGGGCACTGCAATGTAGCTGAAGCAGATCCTCAAGTCCACACTGTGGGGGCAAAAGGAAGCTCCTGAGCCAAATAAGGCTGATGGGCCAAGGCCCTAACCCCGACCCTGCCCACTCCTGCCACAGCCCAGTCCCCAACCCCAAACTAGAGAGAGAAAGGGAGAAGGGGAAACAACCCTGGCAGCCTCCTCTGCCCTCCCCTAGGATCCTGCCTCACCAGACCAAGCGGCCACCAGCACAGTTAGGCTGTTCTAGGTCAATGGCTGGCGGAGCAATGAAGACTTCATGGGTGACGTGGAGGATGGGTCTGGCCCTGGGGGAATGGGGAATCCAGAGTGCAAAAAACATGAGAACATGAGGCTGGAAGACTCTCAGCTTCAGATTTGGCACTAGAGTGGGGTCAAAGCTACAAGGAGAGGCTGATGGCCTTCAGGAGGGAAAAGGGGAGGGGCTTACCTGAAGAGCACAGCTGTGTCAGCCAGCGAGCCCACCAGCAGGTCTGGGTAGTGGTTCCCATCCACATCCAGGCCACCGGACAGGGAGTAGCCAAAGCTCCTGATGCCCACGGATTCACCCTCCAGCACCTGGGGATCAACCATCAGCTTCCCAAACTCCATTCCCCACGTGTCTGCCTTCTTGCCCTCTACAGCCCTTATTTCACCCACACCCAGTCCCTCATCCTAAGGACTCCCCTCACCTGTGAAGGTTTGTCGAGGACTCCCAGGCTGCTCCCATGGTAAATAAAGACTTTCCCATCCCCATCAAAAGGAGCTCCCACTGCAATATCTGCAGGGCATGAGAAAAGGCATCACACCAATGGGGGAAATGTCGTCAAGGCCCGGGCCCAACCTCCCTCACCCAGTTTAATATGTTTTCTATTTTCTTGGGAAGCTACTAACATAAACACTGGTTTTAATCCCCTCTGCCGCTCCTTCCAGATATTACTAGCTCAGAAAAATTAAGTAACTTGCCCAAGTTAAAAGGCATGATAAAATTCAGATGTAAGTCCAGATTCCTCCTCTCCCTGAGCTCTGAGAAGACCTCTCCAGTGACCTCTGAGGGGCTTTTACATCCCTCCCTGACCTCCTCCCTCCACTGAACCTTTTCTGTTCCCCAATCATACCTGGGAAGCCATCTTGGTTGAGATCCCCCAAGACAGCCAGGCTGATCCCAAACATGGAGTCAGGGGAGCCACAGAGCCGGAGAGGGGAGACCTCTGTCCAGTGACCACCCTGGTTCATGTACACATACACAGCACCTCCCAGCTCTTCTTGGCGTTCAAAGAAGTAGGGGGCACCCACAATCAAGTCTGACCAGCTGTAGAGAGAGGGAGTCAATACAGGGTCTTCCAGGCCAGGAGAGTCAGGATAAGATGAAGTGGCCACTCATACCTCCCAGACTCACTTCCCATGTCCCCTCTCACCCGTCATTGTTGAGATCAGTCACAGCCAGTGAATAGCCAAACCCAGAGGTCAGGCGCTCCCCAGAAGTGTAACTTCAGGCACCAGGCGGCTGGCACTATCCTTGCGCAGAATGACCACAGCCCCCTTGTGGTTGGCACGGGGGGCCCCTGCCACAAAGCTCAGTTCCTCTGCCCGCACGAGACCCTTTCCAGAGTCGATGGAGAAACCTAGGTGGTGGGAGGGTCACTTACAGGTGAATGTTTCCCTATGACTCAGAAGTCAGGTGTGCCACACCTGTGCTGACTCCCCCTATCCCTGTACCACCCCAACAGGTCTGGAGCCAAAAGGAAGTGATGCCTCCAAGTCATCACCACCATAGCTAGACCACTCCTCCTCCCCCTCCAGGGGCCTCACAGCACTCCCACATTCTCCTGGCTCAGAAACTGGAGTTTAGCACAAGAGCTGTAATGAGGTCAGCCTCCGGGACTGGGGAGGAGAAAAAAAGTCACTGACAGAGAAGTCTGGGTGACTGGACACAGTGACAGGAGCTGGGCCCACTGCCTGGCCTCACCCCAGGGGACTGAAGGGGAGCTTTGAGCTGCCTCCCATCTACATTCCCTAGGAGGCCCCAGTCCCATCTGATATACCTTCCATGCCCCCATTTTCCCCCTCCCAGAAGGAATAGGAAATCTTCACATAGAGGGGAGGGAGACAGAGGAGGCAGTAAAGAATTTGCTTCATCCAAATGTCTCCCAGACCTCACTTCCTCCTCCTCTACAGAGGGATGCAGATGACACAGTGGAAGGACTTACCATTAAGGCTAGATCTTCCTCCTGTGTGAGCCCACCACCCAGCCCTCAAAGAAAGTTCCCCTAGAGGTCAGGACTATACTCAGCAGAGTGGAGTACCAGGATTTTCCTCCATAAAGACCTTTGCTCACAGCCCCCGAGGCTATCACCCTTGGGACCTCCTCTTCTCAGGCCTGGTCACTGGACCTAGCTCTTCTCTGCAATTTGGTCCCAATGTGTATTTCCCTGGGTGTGTTGTGGGGGCGGGCAAAAAAAGATGTTCTCTGCGGGAGGAAGAAAGAAGGCCAGGGCCTAGCTCCCAGGGCCCAGGAAGTGGAAGCTTACAAACCTAAGTAGCTATTCAAGGCCAAGTCTCCGGCTGGTCCTGGGAGCCGGTCAGCAGGGTCCAAAGTTTTATACACCAGCTGGTCAGGGTCTGAGCTATCAATGTTGGTCACAAAAAGCAACCCTGTGGGGGACAGGTGGGAGGCGGGAGAGAGACACCAGGGAAGGGACATCCAGAGGAGAGACCACAGAGTAGGGAGACAGAGCCAGACAGAAAAGCCAAAAGAAGAAAGCGAAAGAAGAGAATGAGTGAAACCAAGAGAACAGAAAGACAAGAGTCAGAGAGAGACAGACAGAGACGGAAGGATGGGAGCATGGAGAGGGAGGACAAGAGAGAGGAGCAGAGGGTTAGAGTGGCTCCAGGCCAGGGAGGGGTCCCTACCAAAGTAACTGTTGGCAGGGACCGGGATAAGGCGGGGGTTCTGCTCCTTCTCGCCCCCCGCCTCGTAGGGCCCGTCGTCCAGGTGTGCCAGGTCCGCCGAGCCCTGTGCACAGAGCTCCACCCTGGCCGTGCCTGCAAGGACAATCTTGTTAGTGCCCAGGGCAGGGAGCAAGGAGCACCCCTCAAGCTGGACACTGAGTTAGACAGATACTCAGGGAAGCCCCTCCTCTACTCTCCCGTCCATCTCCACCTGCTCCCTAGCCCAGCTTCCTGGGGTCCCTCAGACTTGGTATCACACTCACCGAGTGTCAGCTCAGCCAGCAGCAGCGTGCAGAGCTGGGAATGGCAGTGACAAGGTGTGGGCTGCTGCGTTGGAGCATGCAGGTCCTGGCTGGGTGATCAGGCCCAGCCGTGCATGTGGGGGCTCATGCCAGCATGTGGAGGAACACTTGGCCATGCGAAGTGTTCCCATTCATGTGTGTGCTAGCACCGTGGGAGCAGAAGACATGGCAGTTCCCCAGGGCAATAGACCATCGGACATATGGTCATGCTTTGGTCACGTGCTACCCACAATCCCATCTCTGAGATAAGAGGAAGTTTTGATTCCCTTTCTCCCCTTCCTGAGAAGTGACTCACCCTTCCAGTTATAGGTTCCTGGAGCCCCAAAGAGAAGGTAGTGGTTGTCAGGAGAGAAGGCAGCAGCTGTGCCCTGCTGGCAGAACCCAAATTGCTCATGGCCCTGGGGGCGCCCTTCACAGAACTTCCATTCCCCACCATCCAAATCATCATGGGCAGCCAGGTCCTGGCTTAGCACAAAGCAGCGACCAATCACATCCCGCGTCTCCAGAATTTGGTCCACTCGCTGTCTTGACTCATATCGGTGTGCACAGGTCTGTGAGAAGAAGGGAGGAAATGTCATTTTCTGTGTGAACCAAGAACCTGCACACGTCCCACATGCAGACATTTGGCAGACGTGTGCATGCACATACACACACCCTATACCAGCATCACTTTAGCATCACCACCCAGCCAGTGTTAGGCAGGTCCTGCATTGCTCAGAATCCTATCTGCACCCACTTCCTGCCCTTGCAGGAAGATAGCCTTGTTCCACATTCTGCGTGGGCACCCACAGACACATGACCAAGGCAGGACATAGGGCATGTGTCTCCCTGATCATGTGACAATCCTGAAACATGCTAAGCTTGGTCCTTTTCCTGGATTTTTGCAAATGCTACCACTTCATCTGCAAAAACAACCTCCTCCCCTCTCCACCCTCCATCTGTAATCTATTCTTGAAAGCCTGGCTCAAATCATCACACCTGCAAAAATCCTTTAAACTAAGAGACGAGGGACTAGACCACTCGACGACAACCATATTCGATTCCAAGGCAACTCATATTGATAATTCTGTTCATGTTAACAAAAGACACAAAAAAGAAAAAGAAACAATAGGAGCCAGGCACTGGTGGCTCATGCCTGTAATCCTAGCTACTCAGGAGGCAGAGATCAGGAGGCTCGTGGTTCGAAGCCAGCCTGGGCAAATAGTTTGCAAGACCCCGTCTCGAAAAAACCCATCACAAAAAAGGGCTGATGGAGTGGCTCAAGGTGTAGGCCCTAAGTTCAAACCCCAGTACTGCAAAAAAAAAAAAAAAAAAGGAAAAGAAAAAAAGATAAGAAAGAAAGAATAAGAATCTCCATAACTATTCGGTAGAGACCACATCTTCCTCTATCTTCATATGGCCTCTCTAGTAACTAGCACAAATCCTGAAGCTTAAAAAGTTCTCAATAAGAGTATGACAAATGGATGGATGGACGGATGGATGGATAATGAAACATAGTTAAATTTATAAGGATATGGACCATGTCTCACACTTTTTTTTTTATCTCCGAGAGGTCCAGGGAATCATACCATCTGCCCAACCTGTGTTCTGTAAGCATACCTGTGCATATGCACACACCATAAACACATCATCATCATCATCATCACAACAACATCATCACCATCTCTGCATTCAGTCATATGAAGTAACAACTCACAACAATCTTGCCCCCGGGTCCCTGGCTCCGAACACTGACGCCCAACCACTGATTCTCCTTGCTCTCCTTTTGGACATCAGCTGGAGACAAGACACTGGGAATTAGGGGAGGGAAGAGAAGGCCAAATCCTCTCCTCCCCTCCTCACAGGCTTCCCCACTCCACCCCCTCAGGGATGCACCTCCCCGGTCGATGTCCACTCTGTAGCAGTCAGTCTCCTCCAGGCTCAGGGGGCAAGCGAAGAGGCCTCCGGTGCGGTTTGCCTGCTGCCCAGGAAGAGCCAGGGCCTGGGGAGCACCCACCAGCAGCCTGCACAACAGAGCAGGGGCTTGACTTAGAGATCAGAGTGCTCCAACCTCCCCGAAGCTTCCCAGGCCCAACCCCTTGGGACAAAGCAGAGTGTTCAAAGACTAAAGAGAAGAGGCAAAAGTCATTTCTTTCAAATTCTGGCTAGAATAAGTTAATAACTCAGCCATGCAATCATCATGTTACATGTGCACATACTAACTGGATGAGGAGCTGGCAAGCACAGTCGATACACACAAATACACAAACAGGCCAAGCAGAGCAGTATCCCCAGCATGGTGGTTTGAAAAAAACGCCTGTCCCCGGCACCTGTTCCAGACAGGCCTTCCCTACCCCCTGCTTGGCCCCATCCCCAGGCTCTGCCCTTCTTCCCCAACCCTGGTCCAGTTGAAACTCTGCCAGAAATGCCAAGAATGCAAGGAGCAAGAGCAACAAGGACCCAGAATGGCACCACAGTGTGGATCAGGGACCAACTTCAGAGGCCAAGCCTCCCCTGGAGGGGAGGGAGGAAAGAGCTGCTTCTCCCTCATCAGGAGCCCAGCAAAGACCCTATCCCTGTAGCACCTCTGCCAGCCCAGGATTCATTCTATCAGTCATTCTGATTGGCATGGAAGTAGAGACTGGTTTCTCATTCTGTCTCCACTCCCACCCCATTCTCCTCCCACATCCAAAATCCCCTTCCCCATCCTTCCTTCTCAAACCTGATCCCACCTTCCACTCCTACCCCATCTTCTCTCCGACCTCCCCCTCAGCCTTTTTCCCAGCTACAGTTTTCTTGGCAGGACAATTTTCCACAACCACAGCCAAGGCATCTTCCCCAGGGGAGGACTGTGATGGGAATGGAGGCTGTCTGGGTCCCCTGGGACTGAACCCCCTAGGCCAGGAGTGAAGGAGGGAGTGAGGTGAGGTAACTGATGCCCAGATGACTACATGGGTCCTCTCTTTGCAGAAGGGGAGATTCAAAAGTGGCAGCAGGACAAACCTCAAGTCTGTTCCCACACTCTTCTTTCTCTCTCTTCCTGGGGGGCAAAGCCCAAAACTGTAGAGCAGTATTACAGACAGGCATCTGTGAGGCACTGAGCCAGGCCTGATGGGACAAGGGGAAGGGCACAGAGCCATTCTCCCTTCCCACAACTCCTCTTGTCTCTAAGCAGCTGTCATCCCATGTCAGAGACAATGTCAAGAGAGAGAAGGGGGATGGGGAGCAGTAGGGAAGAAAACAGACAAGCAGCACTCATTTAACAACTAGTTATTGATAGCCTATTATACACCAAGCCCTGTGTCAGGCACCGGTGAGACAAGGAAGTGATATTTACTTGGCACCTACTACAGATCAGGCCCTGGGCTAGACAAGGGATATAAGAAAATAATCTTCATCACTCTCCACATAGCATTATCCCATTTGATTGCCACAAAAATCCTACAAGATAAGGATTATTTTCTTATCTTCCAGATGAAGGAACTAACTCAAAAACACTAAGCAGTCATACTGGAATTCAAATCTACATCTGCCTAACTCCACTACTTGGTCATTCTGCCCACTGACTGGCCTGTCTTCATAACACTGACACTACTCCAGAAGAGAAGAGGAATGGGAAGGGAGAGTACCTTAAGGAATCTAGGTGGCAGGGTCCTCTGCAAACAAATGCCAGCCTTCAGACAAATCAGCAGTGCCCCAACCTCCTAACACAGAGGGGGCAATCTCTTACAGGACAGGAGCTGTCTTATTCATCTTTGTGCTTGCCTCATAGGAAATTCCAGATTCCATTTCCTGAATCCACATCTCTTGTGGACTCACACCCAGTGCCTCAGCTGCTCAGTACGGAGCTAAGTACCCAGAGAAGCTAAAGTTCTCTCTGTTCACATCTCCCCTGGAAGCCAAGAGTAAGGAGGAGGGGCAAGGCCCATATGGACAGAAGCTGAGTGCACAGCCCCACTCTTGGTGGAAAATAGACCAGTCAAATCCTCATGGAACAAGAGCACCCACATGCAGCCTCCCCAATCTCTCTACTTCTGCGCCAGCCACATGCTTCTTCCTGGTTTCATCCCAGAAGCCCCAGTCACCCCAGGCCTCCACACAGAACAGTAGCCACAGCTGCAGCCACTGCAGAGAGGAAAAAAAAAAGGTAGCGTTGGCAGCTAGGAGCAGAGGGACCCCCTGGGTGTCTGGCTAAATGTAGACAAGGAGTTTACCACTACTACTGTACTTCTCTATTCTCCGCATATGCCAAGGCTCTAGCCCAAGTCCAGCCCTTCTGACCCCTCTCAGTCTGGGTGGCCCTCTGGGAAGGCTGCTTGGCCGGAAAGGCTGGCTCAGCCTGGGGGCCCTCCAGCCAAGCTATTGGATCCAAGATGCTATAAAGTGCTTGTATTGTGTGACTTTTTTTTTTTTTTTTTTTTTGGTGCTACTGGAGCTTGAACTTAGAGCCTCATACTTACTAGGCTTGCAAGGCAGGCTCTCTACCACTTGAGTCATTCTACCAGCTCCTAAAATGCTTGTATTGGGAATCATATACAAGAATAAAAGTTCTGTGAACAGTTTTAGGGCACTCACTACAGGCTTTGCACTGTATTCTAAGTGTTTTCCACATATTAAGAACTCTAAATCCCCCCAAACAGCCCTATGTGGCAGTACTGTTGGTTTATTTCCATTTTATAGTTGACATAAATAAATGAGGCTGACACCACAGAATAAAATAAGAAGGTTAGACCTCAAAGTCTCATCCAGAGGCTAGGTGGAAAATAGGTAAATCTGGGTGCTGTTGCCTTGTAATCCTACTCAGGAGGCAGAGATCAGGAGGACTGTGATTCGAAGCCAACCTGGGCAAATAGTTCTTGAGACCCTATCTCAAAAAACCCATCACAAAAAAAAGAGCTGGTAGAGTGGCTCAAGGTGTAGGTCCTGACTTCAAATCCCAGTACTGCAAAAAAAAAAGTGAGGTTTTTCCATCAGTGTATACTAACAAAGGTCTGAGCTCAAAGGCTAGGTACCTGACCTCTCAGTACCACTCAGCAGCAGAACACCTCTGCTGGAGCAAAGACAGGGTTAAGTGGTCAGACCCCTGTGGGAATGTCCCAAGCCTGATTCTGGGACCACCTTCTAAGAGAAGGGGGCAATGACAAGAGACCAACCTATTAAAAATAACCTAGAATTTGTCTGGAAATATCTCAGAGAGTTCAGCATGTCCTAAAAAGGCCTCCAGTCCTGGAACTCTGGCAGATGGGAGAAAGAGGTAGGGAGGCAACAAGACAGAGGAGGAAGCAGGTGGCAGGCCATAAAAGAGGTAAAGTCAGTTACTTTACATCTCCCACAAAGTTTTAGGGACCAGAGACCCTACTCCCAAATAATGGGATAATGGAAGTAGAAGGATTGGAACTAGCCCCACCTCTAGTGAATGAGGAGAAATGAGCTCTTGTCCCTGACCCCTGCCCCCAGGCCAATCGTCAGGGGTGGAGAAGACAGTCCCAATGGACAGCATTGATCCCAGTAATGGACACTTAATGTGGCTTAGGCACTGGCTGAGGAGAGAAAAGCCCAGTGGCAGGATGGGGTTGGAAGCTTTCTTCCCCTCTCTTTTTACATTTAACAAGAGCCAAAGGTACAGGAAGCATCACCAGCCACAGGCCCCACACAAGTGTGTCCATTTCCCAGGGGTTCTGATGAGACTAGAGAACTACAACTGCCCTCTGCCCCTAACTGCTCCCTGCCTTTCCCTACTGCTAAGATTTCCTAGAACTGGAAATTTCCTGAGGAGGAAAGGGAGCAGCCTGGCCAGCATCCTTCCTGGATCTCTCTGCCGAGCACCACTACTACTACTTAAGGGACTGTTTTCTGCCACTGTCTGTCACCACTGCAGGTTGCCAGGCCCTCTTAGGTCCTCTCCTAATCTTCCTGCTGTTGTGAGCCACAGAAGTGGCATCTGCTCTCTACTGTCTTCTCAATGCCCTGCAACCCTCACTCCATCCTATCGTGATGCTCTGGCAGGAAGTTATTTCTGGAGTCAACTCTCCTTCTCTCCCATGACACCCTCATCCTCTCTGTCCTTTCCTTCTGCTACTGCCCTAGGAAGAGACAAAATTGTCAGTTTCCCTCCCTTGGGGAGTTCAGTCCTCTAAGAAAAGGAGGAGAGCCAGATACCCTAGGGCTGGTGCAAAGATGCAAACTGGGAAGAAAGGCAGAAGGAGATGTTCCCTGCCAAGACAACTCATCCCCAAAGCAAGATCCTGGATCTCAAGAACCTGGGTGGGGTTGACTAGAGACCCAAGGAAGATGAAGCAAGGCTCCAGGTTGGGGTATGGATGTCTGTGGACAGCTTGTATCCTGCTGGGATTGATAGACTGGGAGACAGGTGGCTGGGGAATTGGGGGGAGGGGTGATCTGCGCCTTGAGCCAGGAGACTCTGGGTGGGTGCCATTACTCACCAGCTCTGGTGTCGGGGGTGCAACTGCCTGTGCAGGGCCACAGAGAAGCCGAAGAGACTGCCTGGCTCGCCCTCCTTGCGCAGGGCGCCCATCACGTCCAGATTGAAGGCAACAGCCCGTGGGAAGAGCAGTCCAGTGAGCAAGGAACCAAGAAGATAGCAAATCCCGGGGGGACCCCAAGGATCGCAGCTCCGAGTCCCGGCCATGGGACGAACCCTGCGCGCACTCCCCGCCAGTGCAAAGAAATTCTCCCACGCCTGGAGCCCCAGGTCTCCCCAGGCGTGTTTTTGCGTTCAGAAGTCTAGATGGTCTTTCAGGGGTCTTTCAATGTTTCGCTCTGCCACCCCTCCTTCTCCTGCCCCTCCGCGACCCCAGCACCCGCTAGGACAACCGCAGCCGCAGCGCGGGCGTCCACTCGGCTCCCGCCTCCGCTCCCACGGATGCCGCCCAGGCCCCGCCCTCGGCTCCGCCCGCTCGATCTTGGCGGGTGGAGACTTCAGCGCATCTCCAAGAGATGCCCATACCCATGGCTCCGAGTGAAAACCAGTGTTCCTACAGCCCCCACCCCACCCAGCCTCTCCTCTCCGCACCCCCAACCCAGCACCAGCTCCCGCCCTGTCCCGCCCTGCGCTGCGCTCTCCTCCCCTTCTCCCCATCCCTGCTCTAAAAAGGTGGAGGTGGCACCTAGGAACGGGAAGGAGAAGTAAATTAGGAAGAAAGGACAGGAAAAAGAGAGAGGAGGGTAATGGAGAAGTGGGATGAGAATGAAGGACAACCTGAGAACAGAGGTATGCAGATAAAAAGAGAAGAGAGAAAGCCGTCCTGGGCCTGGGGCCAGTGTGTTCTCTTAATGATCCCACCTCCCCGTGGTCGCATAGAGCACCCCTTCTGCCACTGCAATCAAAGCACTTCCCACGCCCCAGAGCCTGTCAATGCTAGTCACATCGTCAGCATTCAAGGGAACAGAGAGAGAAGGAAAGACAGAGGCAAGACGTAGAGAACAACCCAGGAAATATAGGAAGGGTAGCAAATAAATAATGAAAAGGAATGGAGAGGAAGAAAGGGCAAGAGTTTGATCAACAAGCACTGGAATGCAGGGAGAAAAGGGAAAAAGACTGGGGCATGGCTCAAGTGGGAGAACACGTGCCTAGCAGGCACAGGCACTGAGTTCAAACTGGCTCACGCCTGTAATCCTAGGTACTTGAGATGCTTAAGATGTAGGCCTTGAGTTCAAACTCCAGTACAAAGGAAGGAAGGAAGGAAAGAAAAGGGAAGGGAGGGGAGGGGAGGAGAGGAGAGGAGAGGAAAATTGAGTTGGTGAGGAGGGGAATGAGGGTATCAAAGAATGGCAAAGACAAAAGAGACTGGACCCAAGAAGTGGCATGGAAAGGATAATTCCAGCTATCAGACTCTTCCCAGGATAGTACACTTCCCATTCGTGCTACACACCTGTAACCCCAGCACTCACGAAGCTGAGGCAGGAGGATCACAAGTTCCAGGCCAGCCCGAACTGCACAGTGAGACCCTGTCTCAAAAAGGGGAGGAGGAAATTGGAAAAGCAGAGTCCTGGGCTGTCTCAGGCAGAAGTTGGGGGAGATGGTAAAAAAAAAAAAATGGATCTCCACAGAAGCCTTTGGTCTGTCCCTCTTCCTCCTTCTTCTCCCCAAGCTAGGACAGAAGCAAAAGGAGAGGACATTTTTCCATCTCTCTGCTATTTATAACTCTAATCTAGAAATGGGGCCAGGAGGAGAGATAGGAAATAATTTGGCAAAAGTGAAATCTGTCTGGCTCCCACTTTTTCTTTTTACTTCTCTTTCTTACTAGGTACTGGTCTTGTGTATATCCAACTGTTCATCTGTCCCCTCTCTATATCTGGTTTTGTCTCATCCCAAATTCTATTTTTGCCTCCTTTCTTGTCTCTGTCATACTTATAATCTCTCAGACTATTTCTTTTTTTTTTTTTCTTCAGACTATTTCTTAATGTCACTAACATCTCTGCCCTTCAAAGGCTCTCATGTTCTTTTTTTTTTTTTTTTTTTTTTTTTTTTTTTTTGGTGGTACTGGGGTTTGAACTCAGGAACTCACACTTGCTAGGCAAGCACTCTACCACTTGAACTACTCTGCCAGCCCTTTTTTTGTATTGAGTGTTTTCAAGATGAGGTTTCATGAACTATTTGCCTGGGCTAGCCTCGAACCTCAATCCTCCTGATCTCAGCCTCCCAAGTAGCTAGGATCACAAGTATGAGCCACTGGTGCCCAGGGGCCCTCCGTTTTTGTAATTCTTCACCTATGGATATCCTCTGCAGGGAAGTCATGTACATCTAGACAGGTGCTATGAAGGAAATACATGTGAAAGACTGGCACCAGCATTCTACTTTCAATATCCCCCAGATATGCCCTCTCCATCTTTTTTTTTATCTCAGAGTTCCAGGCAGTAGAAAGATGTTATATGAGAATGCAAAATAGCAAAATTGGGATGGAATCCAAGATTCCTGACTCCCAATCCAGACATCTGACCCTAGTCAAAATGTCTTTAGAGCCCTACCTAGCTGCCTTTATTTCTACACCTGGAGCTTCTGCTGCCTCTGTCTCCACTCCACTGGCTTCTGATAAATCCGAGGCGGGAACTGGATACCAAGAATCTGCTTCTGACCTCCTCTACCCAAATATTTGAGAAGTCACCTCACCCGCCACAGGAAGAAGAAGCAGAAAAGAAGAGAGATTGGCCACCCAAAATTAGCCTGGCTATAAATAGTGGGGCAAGGGAGGGCAAGAACATACAAGAGCACTAGACCAGCCTAGTAAATTTAGACAAGTACATTTTCCCTAAAGGAGAACTGACAGCAGAATGTTGAAATGGAGAATTATATTGTAGGTAAAGAGAGAAATTAAGAAACTAGAGAGACTCAGAGAATAAATATTAAATAAATAATCCACCAGAGAATTTATGCTTAAACCAAGAGTTTAGAAAGCACTGAAATTAAAAAACAATGCTCCTGGGCTGACTCAAGTGGTAGAGCACCTGCCTAGCAAGCACAAAGCTCTGAATTCCACACAGGAAGGAAGGGAGGGAGGGAGGGGGGAAGGAAGGGAGGGAGAGAGGGAGGGAAAAAAAGATTCCGGTCTGGGGTGTGGCTCGAGTGGTAGAGCATCTGCCTAGCAAGAACAAGGCTCTGAGTTCAAACCCTAGTACTGTTAAAAAGAAAATGCTCACGTAGTGGTGAACATCTTTAATCCTAGCACTTGGGACACTGAGACAGGAGGAACTCAAGTTCCAGACTAGCCTGGGCTACATAGCACAGCACTGTCTTTAAAAAAAAGCCCGGGGTGGGGGTTGCAGCTCAGTAGTGGAGCATTTATCAAGCATGTGTGAGGGCCTGGGTTTGATCCCTGCACCACCAAGAAAAATGCATTATTCCATATAACATCCTTAAAATGACAAAACTGTAGAGATGAAGAACATATTAGTGATTGCCAGAGTAGATGGAGAGGGTGAATGCAAATACAAAGTGATAGCATAAAGGAGAGCCTCCACAGTAATGAGTTTTATATCTTGATTATGGTGATGGCTGCATAGTACTCTGCACACAAATGTGTGGGTGAATGGGGAAAATTGAATGAAGCCTGAAGGCTAGTTAAACGGGATTATACCAATGTTGACTTCCTGGTTTGAAAATGTAGTACCAGTTATACATGATGTGAACATTCTAGAAAGCTACAGGAAGGGTAAGCAGGATTTTACATACTACTTTTACAACTTCCTCTGAGTCTAAAATTATATCAAAATAATTTTGAAAAATTTAAAAATTGAGAAGTGTCCTAACCAAGCAAAGACTTTGGCCTTTGTCTGAGTTTTCCTCACCCCCTTCCCTCTCTAATATCTTCTTCCCCTCCATTTGGGATTCCTATTTTCCAGGTCACACTTTTTCCAGCTGTTGTCTCTAAGCTTATAAGCAAAGACTTCCAGAACAAATGCTCCAGGGCTAACTTCTCCCTCCCTCCACTTCATCTGGCAATGGAGGCTTGGATCATATGCCCAGGGTAAGGCTTTCCCTCCCTAACACACACAGCATAAGGACTTTCTCACCCCACCCACCTCTCCAACACTGGAATCCTTCTGCCTGCCTCTGAATTCTGGCTGTAGCCAAAGCTTGTGGGAGTGACTGGGAGAGAAAGAACATAAATGCAATTGAAAGGAGTCCATAGGGATATGACTTGACCACTCTGGTCTTTGAGGATCCAAGAGAAACCTTTGCATCTTGGGGAGAGGACTGGGGAGTCACTTCCCACAGGGAGCCATTTAGACTGTCTTGAGGGCCTCTTTTCTTTGAGCCCTGGCTTCAAGCCAACATTTGAAACTTGGCCACATTGCCAACAGCCCCCTCTCTTGAAGCTCAGCCAAATTTCCTTGTATGTGAAGACTTCTCCACTCCCTCCATGTCCTCAGTCCTCACCCAACCCCTAACAACTCAACAGCTTCCAGCCCTAATGCTTGGCCTAGCCAGTCAGTTCAGAATTTGCTAATTAAAGCTAGACCTCAAAAGAACAGAGAAATGAGTGCAGAAAAAAAAGCATGGAGTTACATTCATTCATTTTAAGGAAAAATCATCTGGGTGGAAAATTTTAAAGAGAAGTAGACAGATTTTAAATTTCAAGAGTCAGTCTCTGGGTATATATACATATTGTATCCATCTCTACCAAAGACAGGTAGCACTGAGTTTCAATGTGCAGCAGAAACTGAGGTTAGACAGTGAACAATAAGAGCCCAGGAATAAACAGATGAAGGATGATCCTAGAAAGATCAGCTGGGGTCCCTAAATATAGATACCCTACTTCCACTGTCCCACTCTAGTGCAAAGGAACCACCAGTGTGTGGGAGAGGAAGACAGGGACTGATGTCTGCAGGATCCTGGCAGCCTCTATACCAATTGTGAAAATGTCAGGCAGTTGTGCCAAGGGGGTGAGGGTAACACAGGATGGGCCTGACAATTCTCTCTGAGTCAGCCTAATCTCATTGCAGACTCATTCCTGAAACCCTCAACAGCCCCCTTCATTAGCCTCCACCCTATGTTTCATTTGCCCTATGTCACCATTCCCTGGCACCCCTGTCAACCCATACCCTTCCCTTCCAGGCCCTACAACTCTGGGAGTGAAGCACCAGGCATCTTCCAATCTGCCATTGTTTTGCTTGCTCACTGCAGTTGGAAGCAGCAGCCAGAGAGCGGGAGGACAGGATGGGGCCAGGCTGACCTGTAATGGTCTCACTCTTCCCGCTTCTATTGATTAGCCCTTTCCTGGAGCAGAGCCTCTTCCCAAACACTCCTCTCTGCCAGGATTCCCTTTAACTCATGCCCAACAAGCTAGAGAGGCATAATGATAAGACAGAAAGAGCTCCTGGAAAGTGCTTAAGGGCCTTCCCTCCTGGG